TGAAATGTGAAATCTTCCTTCCTACGCCCTTCCAGCTCCTCAAACAGGCTCAGCCAGGGTGGTAGAAGAGGATGGGTAGGGGGAAGGAAGGGTTCATGCTTAGGTTACTGCTGTTCTGTCCTCATGGTGGGGTAGTTGGGAGGGTGGCCCAAGGAGGGACAAAGCTGTAGCAGGAGGTAAAGATGTGTCCAAATAGTTTGTCACATCTCTCCATCTTTAGATCTGGAGTAAGCAGGTAAAACCTGCTGCTTTCTGTGCTTTCATGTGGGTTAAGGGTTAATTTCCTCCCATGTTTCTTAATCCCTGTTCCTTCATCATGAAAAATCATGATCGAGTGATAACAGTCTCACTTGTGCCACACTTTGAGAAGGTAGAGGGTTACTTGGAATGCCACTGAGGCTGTTCTTGTGTGGTGGTGCTGTGTTGTGTCTGCAAGAGGGGTGGGAGCCTGTTGCAATACACTGGCTTTATTCCTCTGCAAGCAGCTTCTAAGCAGCTTTAGTAGCTAGTGTTACTATGTGTTACTAAACCTCTTGGTAAGGGAATTTCCAGGCTTTGTGGGAAAATGGACTGCCCAGCTCTCCTCTGATCAAGAATCTGGAAATGGTGGTACTATGTGTCGCCTGTCTTACCAGCAAGGTTTCTCTGCTGTTTGAGTGAATGCAGGATGGCATTGAACATTGTTTGCTTTGGGGTAGGCAGAGTACAAGGCCACTGTCACTTACTGGATGTGCAGTGAGGACTTCCCAGCCTTTCCATTTTGGCAAGAAACATGACCCTGTCTGAGTGTGCGTCATGCCCAGATTCCTCTGTACAGTCTTCTAGACTTGTGGAAAGGTGTTTTGAAGGAGTACAGATTGTAGTATCTGATGGTCATGAGTGTGCAGGAGTCTGGTAAGGGACTCGAAAGCCTTCAAGCCATTAGCAGGCTTCTGTGTCCAGCCAGAATGACTGCAAAGTGTGAGAGATGTTTGCTGGCTACATCCAAAGTTGTTCTTGCTTGCTCAGATCTTTGTTCCCTTGCCTGCTGCACAAAAGTAACTTTCATGTGTTGGCAGGGTGGGACAACATGATCTTGGATCCTGCTCCTTCAAGGAGATACCTTTCATGAAACCCCAATGGGAAGGCTTTGAAGGCTGCTGACTTCTCTTGGGGGTGAATGGTGTAATGTGCTTCCTACACTACAGGGGCACTTGTGACTCCTGGGAACTTCCCTTGCAGATATTAGAGGGAGCTGCACAGCATGTTTCACCTGTATTCTGTCATGGCTAGGCTGCATGGAGGTGCAGGGGAAGGGAAGAAAAAGTCTGTAGTTTAAATACAAACAAGGCAGTCAATGAGCATCCCTATCAGAAAATAATCTGCACACAGAGCCATTACAGCAATTTTGCATTACAAACAGGCATTACAAAAATCCTATGGCACTTTCCCAACAGCTCTTCTATAATGTAGATGATATAAACAGAATAAATAAGGAAATGTGGTGACAGAAAAATAACCTCAAACATATGCTGGTGAAGTCCTTTTTTAACTAAGCAGTTGCCAGCAATTAGTTCTGTGTCAGGTAATGACAGTTGTGGGAAGGAAAGTCTTGCATAGGCTTCAGATACACTCCATCGTGTAGTTTGTGTCCACACCAACTGACAATAAATTAGAGCTGGTTTTTTTTAGTATGCTTTAAAAAGAGTGGGTTTCATTATGTGAAAACAGGTGTGAGCTGCTATATTTTTTTTGTGGAATTACACTGCATTTTATGGCTTGCAGAATTCACATTTGTTAACTATTCTCTGTAGTTTAAAACCCCTGTACTTGCTGCTTTCTTGCTGTAGGCTTCTCTAATTACTAACCAGCAATAAAAAGGTTTGGCTTCCAAGTAAATAGTGGTTTATATTGGCAAAATATTGTTGCCATCTGACAGCTGTTGGGTACCAGGCTCGTTTGTCTCACATTGTGCAGGACGGTATGTTGGTTCCGTTCCCCGCCCCAAGGGCTCCTCGGACTATAGGGGCTTTCCAGCAGCCGTGGGGTACGGCACGGGAGGCTACAGGCATTGCACTACCTGCTCCTGTGGTGAGACAGTCGCAGCAGCGAGGAGTGTGGGGGAAATCCTGTTTCTCCAATGTGATAGAATATGTGAAACTAAATTGCTGCAGAGTATTTCTGCTTGTTGGTAGCCAGTCCTGCTTAGCAGGTTAAGACAATATTATGCTTAGATCATTTGGGATTTTTAAAGCACCTGGAAAGGCCCATGTGAACAATAGAAATAATATTAAACTAGCTTTCTCAGCCTCTGGATGTGTAGCTTCTATTGACAGCGTGATTGTTAATGTGTACATAATAACTAATAGCTTGTATGATGATTAACTGCAGTCAATGTACTGCACACATTGCAAAAGTGGTGAGAAGACAAAAGCGCTCTCTCCCAGCACATGCTGTGAGCACAGGGCAGATGGGAGGGTGGTTGGCCAATACAGTCATGTCACATTAAAATGTCGTGGGATAAAGGGACAGTCTGTTTTGCAGACGTTCCCACCTGTCTTTCTGTCCTACTGTAAGTTTCTGAAATGCCTCTGTCCTCTTATGCCATAGGGCCACGGATAAGGGAGGGGTGAGGACACCAAGAGATGTCTTTCCAGGGTCTGCTGCTGAAAGTGGGAGGCCCTGGGAAATGCTCACAATGCTGCTTTTTTGTTCAGCTGCTTCTGCAAAGCTGTCATGGCATGCATCCAGTTAATACTTGTACATCTTGAGGTGTCTAGCAGGTTTTGTAGCTAGGTCTTCTGAGGTCACTGAAACTTTCAAGCATCTTCCTGTGTTTGTCCCATAGTAATGTATTTGAAGGTGAGAACGTATCTTCCCACCCTTATAACTAGTTTTCTGGTTGTCGGAGAACATCTCATATTTTCACCTTCAGGAAAGAACACTTGCAGAACTGTCTCCTATCAAGTAATTGCTCCTACAGCAAGACTTGTCCCAGCCTACTGTAGACTTGAGGAAACAGATTTGGTACCTCTGCAGAAAATGTGTTCAGCCACTGGCCTCTCCAGAGCTGCTGCTGTAATGTACAATCTAGCCTTAAATGTGTGGCAACTGAATTGGTTGCCTGGGTGGTAATCTGTCAGCTGCAGTCTTTCTGAAAATTGGTGTAACTTCTGTAAGCTAGAAATTATTTTTAGAGTGTAATCTCTTACATTGGAGATAAATCTCTTAAAAATGTGTTTGGATACTGCTGTTGTGGTTTATGTGAAAGCGATAATGGTTTTGTAAATGGGTTTCTGCAATCAATGCAACAGATGGGTTTTGATTACCACCTGGGCAGTGTGAGGTGTGTCACCTTTCCCCTTTGAAGGAAATGAGAGATGACATTTAGCCAAGCTGAGAGTGGGATTTTTCCCAAGAAAGCCATGACTTTCTTCTTACAAAAGTGTGTCACTTCCTATTGTTTTGACTATTGTGTTTGTTATTATATTGGTTTTATCTTGTTTCATAAGCTATTTACAGAACAATAAGCTTGTGCATATAGAGGCTGGTCCAGATCTGTTTTAAAGCAGAACTAGAGCCTGATAGCCTGTTGTTGGCATGGGTCCCAAGAGTTTTCCTACACAAGCTGTGCTGTGGGACTGTAGTAAAGAAGCTGCGGAGGCAGTTGTGCGGCTGTCCTGCCCTCCTGGCCAGTATCAGATTTGAATTCCTGTCTGTTTTTCCAAATTGAACCAAAAAGCCTGTTGTAGCACAGGCTCTGATGGGGCTCACCATACTAGTGCTGACCGTGTTTGCAGGTGCTCTGTTGTAGACTTAAATCTTGCAGTTGTCCAAGCTTGAAGCGCGTTGCAGAGCTCTAGCAGAATGCAGTCAGCGTGCTTTGAGGGGTGAGCTCCAGACTTGGGAACAGATTCGGGTGATACTTTGCTAAAACTGTACATGTGTCACTGCTGGATAACCTTCTGTGTCAAGGGACACTTCTGCCTTGGTGTTCCTGGGAGCTTGTTCCTGTGATTAACCAGCTCTGTTTGTTCCCAGATCTTAGCAGGACTGTATATTAAAATCCATGCTGTTCAAATAAACCTGCTCTGCCAGGCATTGAAGCTCAGGCTGTTATTTCACTGCTATTCAGGTGTGTTGTCACCTGACTTTTTATCAGTAATGACTTAATTTATATCATTTTCTTTCTCCTTTGGTATCAAGAAAATCTGAATTCAGTAGCTCAGGTACATATGTGTGTGTCTGCCTTCAGATGAGTCAACACAAAGCCAAATCTTGGATAAAGTACATGGAATCTGCTGAGAATCCAGGCAAATACAACTCTTGCCTATGGGAGGCATTGCTCTATGCTCCAATTCTTCAAAAGCACAAGAGGGTCTTCAGACATTTCAATAACTTTGAGCCTAATGAGATAAATATTTTAGGCGGGGAAAAAAACTACTATTTTTCACTTGGCTGGGAAAATCCTGTTTCTGTTGCAATTGTATTTTTGTACCCTCTGAGACTCAAACTGAGGATTTAATGCAAAAATATCCAAATCAGCACTGAGGCATTTGTGTAAGACAGGTTTTGGAAGTGTTGAGCAATAAAGGGGCCTTGATGTCTGCTGTGGGACTATTCATATGTATGGTGCTATTCATATTAAAACATGTGCCTAAATGCTTTGTCAAGGTAGAGTCTAAATCTGAATACTGCTTTTGATAAACAAATACGTCCTTCCAATTGGGATTCAAATGATCAAGGAACAAAAGATGTCTGAGGGCAATTCCCAGGTCATTTCCTGCAAAGCGTTGCATGCCCTTGTTTTCCATGCATTTTAGAAGAGGCTGAGAGTCCTCTGATCCTGATGCATGACAGTGTCTTGGAGCTTAAAGCAAAAAATGAATGTCTTGTTTGTATCCTGTGTAACACGGAGCAGAGTACTTTGACATGTGATTACTGAGCCCAGTAATTTGAATTTCTATTTGTATATTGAGTTTTCTTTGTGGTAACTCAAATCCTAATGTCTTCTAGGCAGTCTGCAGGCCACTCGGGCTTTGATGGTGGCTGCTATACTCCTGGGCCTTGTCGCTGTATTTGTTGCTGTGACTGGCATGAAATGTATGAAGTGCATGGAAGATGATCAGGTGAAGAAGATGCGGATGGCTGTCTTTGGTGGGGTGATTTTCATCATTGCAGGTTGGTAACATACAGATGTGTTAGTGTTACATGTGCCATTTCCTAAATGGCACTTATCTCACATAGGATGTGAGAGGATGGGGGGGGTTTACTGGCATTGCTCCAAGAGCATTTTGGGCTGGGAATTCCCTAGAGAGGACTTTGGCACAGTAGCTGCTGGCTATCTGAGACAGCAAATAGGTCTCTTGGCACTAGCATTATGTCTTCTGTGTGGACTGTATGCCTTCCATCTCTATTAGCAGAGCTGAGTTTGACCTGGATGCCCTGCTCCAGTGAAAGGCTGTTAGCAGTCCTGCTGTTGATGCCATGTAACTGTGGGTGACCTCAAATCTTTTCTGAATTTCTTTCCCAACCAGCACTAAGTAACAGCTCAGATCTTCCCAGGGTAGCAGCAGCTCAGTATCACTCCAAATGCTGGTTTAGCTACATAACATTTTTGCAGTGATCTTATTTATTTTGGGTTTCTTCTCAATAAGGTATGACTTTGTGTTCCTTTCCCATGCAGGTTTGGCAGCGCTGGTGGCCACATCATGGTATGGCAACAGAGTGGCTCGGGCCTTTTATGACCCTTTCACCCCTGTCAACACCAGGTACTGACCCATTTGATATAACACTATACTATAGCATGACAAATGTTCACAGGGCTTAGTTTTGAGTAGCCATGGCTACTTTCTTGAGCTAGCTGAGCTGGCTTCAAACTGTGCAGAAAAAGCATTAGGACCACATCTCATAATCCATGCGGCTATTAAGCATTGGCTTTGTTTTAAGGCAGCATCACTGTCAGACCTAGCTGCTGTGACTTGTGCATTTTTCCTCTGATAAATGTTTAAGGCCTGGTTTGCACAGAGCTTAGCCCTCCTGCAGCTGTGCAGGGTGAGCTGACAGACTGGACTAACCCAGCGTGCAAAGCTGAGCTTTGAGGGTCAGCAGAGTCTCTGGCTGCTCCAAACTGCTGCCTTCCAAGAAGCCACTTCAATCCTGATTTCAGCTCCCTTCTGCTCTGTGTTGACATGCTAATACTCTAATCCAGAGGTGCTACTTGTAGTACTCACTTTCTTCCTTGTTTCTCCCCCAGATTTGAGTTTGGATCAGCTCTCTTCATTGGCTGGGCAGCTGCTTCTCTGGCCATGCTGGGGGGAGCCTTCCTCTGCTGCTCCTGTCCGCGGAGAGAAACTTCATATCCACCCACCCGAGGCTATCCAAAAAACGCCCCCTCCACAGGGAAGGATTATGTATAATGAAACAAAGAACAACAACCGCCAGCACTGGTAGTGAAAGCATTTTGGAGAGGACGCTGCAATGCCACTGTCCTGAGCAGAGTTCAGACTCTAGGTTCTGCCTTCCTTTTCTCCCAAAAATGTGTATATTTTTGTAATCCTCTTTGCTACTGGACATAACTTCTCTTTTTTCTCCCAGCCCGTGGAGGAAGGCTAGCCTAGGTTGATAGGTGTTGCCACTGGAAAGATGAAACCTCCAAGCTTGGGTTAAGTTTAGTATTTGGGAGTCAAAGGGAAAATGATACTGTGTTTTTTAGATGGATGTTGGTGCTTTTTTAGTTGTTTTTGTAAAAAAAAAAATAGATGGCAACAATTCAGTCCCATATTCCATTAAGTTAGAGCCCAGTGTGGTGTGTGTAGGAATTAAAGGAACATATATTATATACAAAGTGATGAAACCAATAGCTTAAGGGGAAACATAATTTTAGGGAAAAGACTTTACATGTAGGAATGTTTGAAGAGATCTAAAATGTTCTTGTACTGTCTTACTGGCGTTGTCATCTTGAGCAGTCTCCTTTCTGTGCAGATTGGCGTGGCAAAGGGTCAGACACAATGAAGTTGCTGTGACTTAAACTGAAATCTGTAATTGTCCGTGCACATGCTGCTGGGCCAACAGAAGATGCAGTGTAAGGTGGCTTGGCTTAACTGTATGTCATCGCTCTTTTGACAAGATCTTGTAGGTTGACTGTGTCAGAGACAAAGGCTGCAAAATTGTGGGTACAGAGGTTAGCAACTCCCAAAGCAGCTGCAGGTTTCCCTGGTACCAAGGGAAGAGCTAAAGAAAAACAGTTGCTGTCTGTTTTCACTGGGTGTCTCTGGTGGGGCTGTTGCTGCTGTTCCTTAGACACTGAGTGCTGCCAGGGATTGTTTCCTCCATGTTCCCACCCCATGTTCCTAGTACCTAACTGAGCTTGAAGCTTTATCCCATTGTGTGTTACAGGCCACTTATAACAAACCCCTATCTCCTTGAGTCTTTCTCATTTTGGCTTGGTTACCGATCTCAGTTTGCCTTGCGCAGCTAAATGTGTTAAACCAAGTTGAATGTGCTGCCGCTCCCTGATGTTTCCCCAAGGATACCTCACATGCTGCCATTTGATCCTGTCTTTCTTCTTGTAAACACTTCCAGTGATATGAAGGCAAATTCCAAGGAAACTGACCCAAGGGTTACGGCATTTTCTTTTAATCCAAGCTCTCCAAAGAGGAAGAAACTAGCATTTTAAAGATAAAGCCATCCTTGCATATTAGGTCATATCTAAAAAAAAAAAGCAGCTCAAAAGTTCCCACCCCTTCCTCTGAAACACCCAGTCACTTGGTGTTTGGCTAACACTGGCTGAGGCTGTCTCATCGTTCCTAGAAGGATGGTACCAGTTCTCCAAAGCTAAACCTTGCTTTTTCTACAGAAGGAAACTGGTTGCTTCTGACCAGGCTTTATAATTGTGTATGTATTCAGAGGCATCAGATGTCTTGATTTCCTTCTGTAGACAGGGAGAACCTCTGGGGCTGAGCAATGTACCAACCATGGCATTGGTGGTTTGTATAAGCCTTGTACCTCTGTTTGACCTGACTCTCTGCAACATAAATCAAAGTTACTAAAAGAAACCAACCAGAGCATTTGCTTCGGGCTTGAGTTGATGTTGGCCTGTACTTGGAGCTGGGTCATGTGGCTTCCACTTCTCCATGGAGAATTGCCCATGCACAGCAGCTGACTTGTGACACCTCGTCTTAGGAGGTGGCAGCTCAGGTCACATTGAAGAGCTACTGAAGTCTGTGCTTTTGTATTTACATTAACCCTGAGCCAGGGAGCAGATGCTTGTATTGGGAACTTGTATAAAGTGTTTAAACAATTTCAATAAATGGACTTTTTTAAAGAAAATCAGACTGCATTGCTTCATTTCTTGGTTTTGCATGGAAGAGATGGGAGGGGGGGGGCTTGGGCTTTTGAGAGCTTGCCTGCTAGTGTGAAGCTTGTTTAGCTGTGTGTATCTACAGCAGACATAGGTGGGGACAAATTTTCTGCAGTGAGTCAGGCAGTTGTGGCCTCTGGCAGAAACTCACCCAGTAATCTGCTACGATTGCAGCCCAGGAACCAGAAGGTCTGCTCCTCAGCAAGGCAGGCTGTGCCCTGGGTGGAGCAGGAAGGGGCAGGGGGAAGGCAGATTGTTCCCTTGCAGGGGAGTGGGAGCTACAAGAATGGGGAAGGGATGGGGTACGGAGCCAAGGCACTCCCAGGAGAGATGCTCTGTTTCAGTAGTGCTTTGCTCTCTGAAGCTTTATCTGGGGTAGGGTATGTGCAAGCTGTGGCTATCTGTACAAGATCTTTTGCTTCTAGAGCAGGAAGAGATCTGCTGATCTGTTTGTCTTGTAAAAACTCTTCAGTGCAATTCCTTGACATTTCTGGGTTAACAGGATTGTGAAGAGATGGGCCCTGGGAGGATCCATCTCACTGAAAAGCCCTCTTGGGAGGTACTGTGCTTGCTCCCAGCTGTGACAATGAGCACAACCAGGGAGATGGGTGCATTTTTGCAGGCCAGGTAGAAAATGGTTCCAGCTGGAGGCAGTTTCTTCTAACCTGCACTGATACTGCTCCAGGCTAGCAAGGCTCTGTCCCCCTTGCTTCTGCCTGGCCTGGAAGCCTTTTTCCATTCACCAGGGCTCTTGTGTTCATCCCTTTCACATTTTCAAGTACATGTGATGAGAGGCAAACTTTTAAAAAACCATTTTTCTTAAGCTCAGTCAAGGAGCTGCCACCTCCATTCCCTCTCTCTCCAATGGCTGTTTGCTTTTGTAATTACAAACAAAAGGAATAGAGCTAATTAGGCCTTGTAAAGCTGGCAGAGCAAAACAGCCAGGCATGTGGCTGGCTGAGTGAGCTTGCAGTGCCTGGAGCAGACTGGTTGCCTTGGCATAGTTTGGGGTCTATGGTCATTCTTATTCCAACCTGTCAATTAGTCAAGGATTTCCATTGAGATTAATTTTTTTCCCATGTTTTCATGCTCACTCCCTTTCCAAGGACTGTTGCAAGTTCCGCTCTGAAGTTTCCTGGGCAGAAAAACAGGGAAGGAAAGCAATCCCACCTATAAAATGGACAGTAGGACTTCTCAGCTGCTGGCAAAAATAGGCTGTTGCAGGAGATGCAGGTCTGCGTGTGAGGCTGGCCCAGAGGAAAGAGCCAGAGGCTAGCTTGTTTGCTATACTTTGTGTGACAAAATCACAGCCAAACTTGTGTTCAGATATGGTTTGTGGATTGCCGGCTGGCTGGCTGGCAAGCCAAGGATGAAGTTTGGGGGTAAACATAGTTTCATACGGCTCGTGATCCTAATTCCTGTACAGTGGCGAACAAGGGGCAGAGTATTTCTTGGAGGGGTGATGTCTCAACAGATGACCTTGACCCTGCTTGGGAGGGAGCTTTCCAACCCTTTTCCCCAGCCTTTCATGTATGATCATATGTCACTCAACCGTTTTTTCTGCATCTCTTTTGCTGTCTTTGCTGTATGTTGCATAGAAAAGGAGTAACATGAGTTGAAAATTGGGGGACAGTTTCCCACTGGATTCCTGCTGCTAAAGCTATCTTGCGATGAAATGATGGCATTTGTCTGTACAGACAATGGGAACTTTGACTGTTTCTTGGCATCTTCCTCCACACCGTTATTTATTATTCACATGGTGCCAGAGCTGTGTATACTGTGCACGGAACTTCACTGTCAGTGGGAATTACATGCTCGTTTATATTACTTAGATACTTCAAAGAAGTACTGCTGCTAAAGCTATCTTGCGATGAAATGATGGCATTTGTCTGTACAGACAATGGGAACTTTGACTGTTTCTTGGCATCTTCCTCCACACCGTTATTTATTATTCACATGGTGCCAGAGCTGTGTATACTGTGCACGGAACTTCACTGTCAGTGGGAATTACATGCTCGTTTATATTACTTAGATACTTCAAAGAAGTAAGTGAGCTCAATATGTTTTTGGGTTAGCATCGGCCTGTTGGATTTCTTGGCTTCTCCAACTTAATAATTTTAAGAAGCTGTCTCTGCTAATGCTTTTATCAGATTCAGCTTCTGATTTACACACGAGCTTCTTATAATAAATCTGCCTTTGTTTCCTGTACTGCTCTGAGCACGTAGATATAGCGTATTGAAGCACGGAAAACTCTGATAATGGAGATCCCAGAAATAACCACTAGAGCTGGTGACAGCTGGTGATAAAAATGTTTGCGAAATACTCATGCAAGCTCAGAATCTTTTTAATATAAGGCACAAGAAGAAATAATAGCATTACTGAGGGAAAGAAATTAATGTAGCACTTCTGCTTAAGAGCAAACCCCAGAAACACCAGTAACTGCCTGAAGTTGCTCAAATGTAGCAGATTTACAAGCCTAAATAAGTAACCAAACCGAAAGAGCTCAAGCCTTTGTCCTGAGCATGGAGACATATGCAATAATTCTGGGGCAGCCAGTGAATTGACAGTGATGTAAAATTGTCTCAGTGTTTTCACAAAGGACATCTAAAAGATATCAACAGCAGCAGCATCTTCTCCCAGGGTCTTACACCAGTGTCTAGCTGAAAAGGCATCCTGCAGAGTCAGCCATGTTTGCACTGTGGTAGGGCTGCAGTCAAATCTTGCAGTGTAAAACCTCTTCCGTGGCCAAACACAGTCCTGCCAGCAAGTAGCACCCATATGCCATCAGGAATTCTCCCTCACAACACTGTTTGCCCTCCAGCTGGCAGAAGAGATGCTGTGTCACACCGAGCACAGACAGGGTTGCTCACCACAGAGCTGGTCCAGGTGCCTGCATTTTTCAGAGGGTGCCACAGTTTACCCCACCAACCACAGACTCACAACAACCATGTGTTTCAGCTGAGGCTTTGCATCCAACTGAGCAACTGACCTGGACTTTCCAAACTGACCATTTGATTGCAACACAAACAACATTGCAAGGATTTCCTTATTATCCCCATTTATTAAACTCTTCATTCCTCCAATCCCACTAGTTCCTTAATTTGCTTGGTTACCATTTCCCATCTTCTAGAAGCCCAGCCTGCGACAAGGAGATTGCTTTTCTATGGCACGTTGCTTTGCACCCTGTCTGCAGTTCCCACAGAAGTCCTGCACACTATGGCATCTGCATCACTGAGCAGAAAGGGAAAAACACTCCTTTGTTGAGCCTCATGTGCTTGATTGGAAAACATCCCAACTCCTACAGCTTTTCCAGAAAAGCCCTGCCTGGATTCCTAGCATACTGCGTCAGGGACTTGGTGTTTCTAGGGTCTACGTTTCCTACCGAGACCTGCCAGAGACACCCTGAGCCCCCAGCCATGAGAACCTGTGGGTGCTTCTGCTCTGCTGTCTCAGGGGCTGCAAGCAGCTGCCAGCTGGCGGGTCCTACCTGGGCTGGGGGTGAGCACCAGGCAACCCATCTGCCAGGTTTGCCTCGAGGCACAGAAACTACCCTCCACTACTGTCTGGTTCATCAGCCAGGCCTAGA